GTGTGTGTGTAAGGCAGTCCCCGGGCCCGTGCACGAGCGTGCGTGTGTGTGTGTGTGTAAGGTAGTCCCCGGGCCCGTGCACGAGCGTGCGTGTGTGTGTGTGTGTAAGGCAGTCCCCGGGCCCGTGCACGAGCGTGCGTGTGTGTGTGTGTGTGTGTGTAAGGCAGTCCCCGAGTCGCGAACAAGCCCTAGTCCTAGGTCTGCTTTAAGTTGAATTTGTACATAAATTGGAACAGTTGGGCAGGGTTCGTACCCGACATTGGTCGAGTGTTTTGTCTAGGCACGTAGCGTGTGCTGTATCGTGCATAGCATGCCCGTTTGCATGTAAGAATGTTCAGGGAACGCTCCCGGACGCGCTGAGGACAGTGATGACAGTGACAGTGATGAAGGTCTGTGACACGCGTCCCGGTGACAGTGGGAGGAAGTTGGGACGCGTGTCACACGTTCTGACGTGTGTCACACGGGCGCCATTTCTCACATGGACCATTGTTTGCACTGTGGGGTTTAAAGGACGGGCTTCACAGGAGGAGTTTGTAGCTACAGGTCGTGTGTGATTTGGACACTTGTGACCCGGGCACTGCCTGTACGTGAGTGTGAGTGTGTGCATGTGTGTACACACTTGTCTGTGTGACAGTGCCCATGTGCACAAGCATGTGAATGTGTGTGTATCTGTGTGTACGTGTATACATGTATGTATGTGGGCGTGCATGCATACGCATGAGCACACATGAACTTTGTGTTTACAAGTGTGTGCGTGTGTATGCACATGCGTGCACATACATGTCATTGGCATGCATTGTGTGTACTCACTTGTATGTGTGTGCATGGGTCTGAGTGTATATGTATACATGGTCAGGTGCATGTATGTGTTTGATTGTACCCATGGGGGGGCGGAGGAGTGGGGTGCCGCCACCCTGACTCCTCAGCCCCCCTGCAAGCCCTTTGCTGGGGTTTGGGGTGGGAGAAGCACAGTGAGGGGTCTGTAGTGGTCTGTGTGCACGTCCCTGTGCTCAGGCCCCTGGCAAGAAGTGAACGGGGAGGACTGATGGGTCCTTGTACTCTGAGTGTAACCCTGTTACCCGGCGTGGCAGCTGCTGAGGTCCGGTGGGCCGTCCCCCCTCTCTGCCCAGGCCGGGAGGAGGAGGAGGAGGGATGGGTGGTACTAGCCCCCCTCCCCCCGTCCCCGCAGAGAGCTCTGTGTGCCCTGTCTGCCCTCGGCGGTGCTGACCTGCTGTCCCAGGAGTACCTACTCCTCCTGGCCCGGCCAAGCCTCCAGGAGCTCAGCGCGGGCATCCCCGGGCCCGTGACCAGCAAGGCCACCAAGGTGAGGAGCTGGGAAGCTAGCCCCCTGCGTGGCCTCTGTGGGGACATCACAGGTCAGAGCCGTGCTGTTAGGAGACACTACCTGGTGTGATGGCCGGGGAAGGGAGGATGTATGTCGTGCACACAAGACCAGAACTGCTCCCTGAGGCAGCCCCGCTCTGCACCACAGCCCTGAGGAAGGGGCCTTGGGGGCTGGGGCCTCGGCCTCTGAGGTTCCCAGAGGACCGCAGGCCCCTGGCCCCACCTCCACTCTCCTCTGTCTCCCAGATCCTGAGGCACTTTGAAGCCTCCTGTCGGCACCGGCCCACTCCCTGGGGGCTCTTGGGCGAGTCAGACCCTGCTGGGCCTCAGGAGGCCCGAGCCTGTCCTCCTGACCTGCTGACTGACGCCGAGCCTCTTATGGGCGGCCAGCCGTCCCTGCAGCCTCTGAGCTCAATTTCTCCCCTGCCAGAGGGCCCCCCGCCCGCAGGGAGGCTGCAGCCCAGCCCTGCACCCACCCTGGCTCCTAGGGACACACGTCCAGGTGGGAAGAGTACCAGGGAGGCTGAGAAAGCCCCGGCAGGTTTCCAGGGGTTGGGGGCCAAGTCTGAAACCACAGACGGAGGCCTGGAGTCTGGCACAGGCCCAGCAGGCTGCCAGTGGGCCCCAGCGGCCAGCAGCAGCAACTCCTTATTCGCGGGCATGGAGCTCGTGGCCTGCGCCCGCCTGCTGAAGGCCAGAGCTTCCGCCGAGAAGCCCCTGCCGGCCCACTCAGCTCCTGAGGCCCCTCGGACGTTGCCACCCAGAGCAGCTGCCCAAGCACCCCCTGCCTCAGAGCTGTCAGCATTCGAGTTCCTGAACGCGTGACGGCTGCCTGCCGGGAGCGCCCACTGCTGGGGCTCCTGTCCTAGGCAGGCCTGTGGCGCCAGGGCCCGCCCACGGCTCATGTGCCCTGAGCAGCAGTCCCCTCTGGTGGTTGCCCACCTTTGCCCTCCCACCGGCCTGCCCTCCCTCCAATGCCTTATGGGGCAGCCCCCGCAGAGCAAGCCCCATTCCGATCGGAAGGGAACATCACCCCTCGCTGTGCCATAAACCAGTGCTGCCCAACAGGTGGATGAGGAGGGGCCGCTCTGGCTCCCCCAACGGCCCTGCACATCCCGATAGCCCCGGGGGCCTCTATGACTGCCCTGCGTCGGGGGCTGACCTCTCCGAGCCTGTCCACCTGACCAGCAGGCCTTCCCAGGGTGTGCGGGGCCCAGCGCTCTGCCCGCTCAAGGCACCTGGTAGGAGCTGAACTTGAGGGGTTGGGTGTTGCCAGACCCCGCGTGACTCTTGCTGCCAGTGGGTGGCCCCCAGCCTCACCCGGAGATGCCACGTGGCTCTTCTGCCCACAGTGTGTCCTCAGTACCCTCCAGGTGCAGAGCGCCAGAGGAAGGGATGCCAGCAGCCCCGGCACGTGCAGGGCGATTGGCCGGCCCTGCAGGAGAGGGCACCTCCCTCAGTCCTCGGGACCCCCCCTGCCTCCCCCCACCCCCGGGGCTGAGCTCGGCTCGCTGGCTGGGCTTGGCTGGGTGGGGACCCAGCACCTCCATGTGGCGAGGGACCAGGAGGACCTAGCAACCCAGTCTCGGGTGTGAGATGACGTGCGCCAAGGCCCCCAGGCTGCCTCCCTCTCCCTCTCCTGACTGTCAGCTGGCTGCTGGGGCGTGAAGTCTTGCAGTGGGGAGACAGGTGTCAGCCCGCCACTGTCACTGGGGCTGCAGCCTGGCCCAGAGAGAAGCGTGCCTCTGGTGCAGATCTGGAAGCAGTTACTTGTTCCTCAGGCAGGGGTTTGAGCTAAGGTCCCCTCCTCCCCCAGGGAGGTCATCGGTGGCCACAGAGCCCCACCTTGTGCCATCGGGTAGGGTGGGCCCCCAGGGAGCGTGTCTTTGTGCGGGGGTGGCATAGGCAAGGGGTTTGGCCTGTGACCATCACACGTGTCAATCCGTTGGAGCCGACTGCTCACAGCTGTGAAGGCTACGCTGAGTCTTGGGCTTGGGCTGTGAAGGCGAGAGCAGCCACCCCAGAGACGCCCGCAGAGGCGTCTGGGTTCACACGTTCTAAATAAATACCTGTTTATGCAGAGTTAGAACGGTCTGCCGCCTGCCCTGCGCTTTCCTAAATCTGCGTGTTTACCTCAGAGAAAGAAAACAGGCGTTCACACGAAGCCCCCAAGTGAACGCTTACAGCAACTTAACTAACGAGTGCCCCAAACTGCCCCCCCCCGCCTTCCACAGATTAAGATGAACTGCAGTGTCCCCAAATGGAGGACAAGGATGTGGGAGCCGTGTGCAGACTCACCATGGGGGGGGGGGACTCGGCCCATACTGCACGATCCGTCTCTACCACGTTCTTGTGGAAAAGACACATGGGAAACATTGGTGGGGGTGGGGGCAGAGGGTGGGCTAGTGGCCGGCATCTCAACTGTGGTGGGGGTTACAGAACCGTACACATCTGTCCAGACAGTGCTGCACACTGAGCATGGACGCTGTACAGAAATTCCAAGAAAGGAGGGCAGCGTGTGCTACATTTCGAGATGAAGGTAACTTTCACTTGGAGAGACCAGGAAGGCTTCATGGTGGAGGTGGCATCTCAGCTGAGCTCCAGAGACGAGTAGGATGAAGGGCATTCTGGGAAAGAGAAGAGCACGGTCCATGGTGGAAGCCGGGATGTGTGCAGCAGTGTGGACCCAGAGGACCAGCCCACCACGTGTGTGGAAGGCAGACCCAGTGCTGGGGACCAGCCTGCCACAGGTGAAGGAGCAGCCCCCAGACGGCCGCTGTGGGCTACAAATCGGTCCAGTCCCAAGGTGAGGTTGGGAAGGTGCAGTGGCGGCCCATGGTCGCAGCAGTATAGGGACAGAACATCCAGAAATGCAAGTGGGGTTCAGAAGAGGACGTGGGGCAAGGGGTATTGCTGATGACAGATGGGTCTGGGCTAAAGCAAGGATACCAGAAAGATGTTTCCTTGACTGTGCAAAAGCATTCGGTTGTGTGGGTCCTAACAAATTATGGATAACGTTGAGAAGAATGGAGTTCCAGAACACTTAATTATGCTCTTGAGGAATCTGTACGCAGACCAGGAGGCTGTCATTTGAACAGAACAAGGGGACACTGCATGGTTTAAAATCAAGAAGGGATTGCGTCAGGGTTGTATCCTTTCACCACACTTAGTGTGTATGCTGAGCAAATAATCTGAGAAGCTGGACTATATGAAGAAGAACGTGGCTTCAGGATTAGAGGAAGACTCGTTAACCTGAGATACGTTAATGACACAACTTTGTTCACTGAAAGGATGACAAAGCTCTTACTGATGAAGATTAAAGACTACAATCTGCAGAACGGATTACATCTCAAAGAAAATTTTTTTAAATTCTCACAACTGGAGCAATAAGCAGCAAACGATAAATGGAGAAAAGATTGAAGTAGTTAAAGATTTCATATTACTTGGTTGTACAACCAACACCACTGGAAGCAGCAGTCAAGACATCGGATGACACACTGCACTGGGCAAATTTGCTGCAAAAGGCCTCTTCCAAGTGCTGAAGAGCAGAGATGTCTCCTTGAAAACTAAGGTGTGTCTGACACACCATGGTGCTTTCAATTGCCTCATGTGCATGTGAGAGCTGGGCAATGAATAAGGAAGACCGAAGAAGAGTTGATGCTTTTTGAGTTGTGGTGCTGGCAAAGAATGTTGAAAGTACCATGGACTGCTGAAAGAACTAACAGATCTGTCCTGGAGGAAGCGTGGCCGGAATGGTCCTGGGAAGCAAGAATGGCCAGACTTCCTCTCACATACTTTGGTTATGTTGTCAGAAGGGACCACTCCCTGGAGAAGGATGTCATGCTTGGTAAGGTGGAGGGTCGACAAAGGAGAGAAGGAGAGGAAGGCCCTCAACAGGGTGGATTGACACAGTGGCTGCAATGGTGGGCTCAGGTGTAGCAAGGGTCATGGAGCTGGCTCAGGACCGGGCAGTGTTTGGGTCTGTGCATGAGGTCGCTATTCGAGGGAACCTAACAACAGCAACAGTGGGGGCTCAAAGTTGGGAGGGAGAAACAAAGCATGGTTACAAAAAGAATCGAAAAGGAGGAACACCAGCGCCCACTGTTGGGACCTGAGGACGGAGCGGGCTTGCACTTGGGGACTTGGTTCCAGAGCCTGGGGGGCGGGCGAAGGAGGAAGAGCTCCCACCACTGAGCGCTCCTCGCCTGGCCTGGAATTCCTGGGCGGTGGTGCCCACGCGACAGCGCTTCCCCAGGCTGCCCTGCGAGCGCCGGGCCGGGACACACGGCTGCCCAGGATATCTGCCCTCGGAAGAGCCGTGCGGGGCCCGCACGGGGGTGGTGAGGCCGCAAGGCCGA